GACATGCCGCCACCCTCCAGCCCTCTTGCTAACCTTGACACCAACCTGTGGCATCTACCACCTCTCTGCTGGGTTCGATAATTTGCTGTAGTGGCCACACAGAACTCGCAGATTATGGCGTTTATTAGGTAAGCAATAGGCTATAATTCAAGTTCAAGAATGTGTTCAGTCTCTTACAGCTGGCCGCCTCTCAGTCAACAGTCTCTCTCTCATCAGTGTGTCTCTCTCGCATCTCTCTCTCACATCTCTCAGCCAGCAGTCAGAGACTCCTTCTGCCTCTAGGAGGGCTCCTTTTGAGCCTGGCAGAGTAGCCAAACTAACCAATCCCAACATCAGAATTCTATGCACCTGAGAGAGAGTGAACTTCCCAGAAGATTATTTTGTGTTGCTCCAGGTGGATGACTTTTACAAGCAGCTACTCAGTTACTCACAGCAAAGTGGGAGTTACAACTACTATGGCTAGAAAAGCCTTATCATGTAATTTTCTACACCACACAAAGTTAAGAATAAAGCAAAAAACCCCGCTGCCACCAAGTTGATTATGACTTACAGCAAACTCCTTTGGGTTTCTTTATAGAATTAGATTGCCCAGTCTTTCTTCTGTGGAATGGCTGGTGGGTTTGAACCACTAATCTTCTGGTTAGCAGTCAGATGCCTTTGGCACTGTGCTACCAGAGCTCCTTGTAGTTATGAATACTTCTTAGATATAACCCAACACCTTGAAGGATTTGATTTCTGGGTTTGAAGGATCAGGACCATAGTTGTGTGGGACTATCTTGGTCAACTGACATAATATAGCTCATAAAGTTATATTCTACATCCTAGTTTGGTGAGTAGTGACTGGGGTCTTAAAAGCTAACATGTAGCTATATAAGGTACAACTCTTGGTTTCTACTTACCTGAAGCAAAAGAAAAAAGAAACCAAACACTCAAAGAAGAAACCAGTCTACAGGACAAATAGTCTAACAAACCATGGCCTCATCTGCCCTGAGACCAGAAGAACTAGATGGTGCCCAGCTACCACTACTGACCATTCTAATCAGGGCCACAGTAGATGGACCCTGTTAGAACAGGAGAAAAATGTGGAACAGAACCTCAAATTCTTTAAACAAAACCCCACACCTACTGAATTGCTTGAGACTGGAGAACTCCCTGAGATTACTGCCATTAGAATCTCTTTAATTCTTGAACCAAAACTAATCCCTGAGGTACTCTTGTAGCTAAAAACAAATTGGCTGGGGGGGGGGGGGGGGGGAGAGTGAGAAGAGTATCACCTGAAAGTACTGTGTTCCTTTAAAAAGAAAAAGAAACAAAACAAAACAAAAAAACAAACAAACAAAAAAACCATCTATATAAGACCACACAGTCAACAATTACTTTAAAACAAACATGAGAATATAAGGAGTAGGGACACTAGATTAATGGGAACAGAATCACCAAAACATAAATAATGAGAATGTTCACACATTATGTCACTGAACAACTTGTGTAGAGATTACTGAATGGGAACTCAAACTGCTATGTAAACCCTTCACTGAGAACATAAAAAGATATTATTAAAAAACACAAAAAAACCCACTGGGGTTAATATAGGTGTTTTTGGTACTGATATTTGTAACCAAATAAAATATTTACAGTTAATATATTATAAGATTACATCATCAACTATATTTGACTGATGACAGTTTCATAAAGTTCTATCATAGAACGAATAACCAATCTGTCACAGAATATCATCTTAATCATTTTAATACCAAAACAACGGGAAGTTGGGGCAGGCTGGAAGAGAAAATAAACTGACTCGTACATCAATGAATGCTGTTACCAAACCGCACTTTTCCATCTAATATATTCTGTGTATCTGACTCCAGAGCAGGCCAAGGAAATTAATGACTTTCTGATAAGTCAAGGAAAGCTTTAAATGTTTAAATGGGGGAAACATCTCACTGAGTTTAAGTCCCTTTTAGAATGCATATTCTTTGCAATCAGATGAGGGTGACAAATGCATAGGAAGGATTTTATTGTCTTGTAAAGCAAAGCATGGAAGTCTACAGTACTCAAATCTTGCTGATCATCTACTTAGTACACTGTTTATTATTTTAAGCAATCTATAATTTTTAAAGCTGTATAATTATTTCCAAGCCTATTCTCTCCACAGCCTTTCAAATTCCTTAAAATAATACATTTATCACTTTATAGAAGCCCATTTTCTTTCATAATATATTATCTCGTAATGCTTTTCACAATTTATTTGTTACCCTGCAGTTTCTCTGTTTATATGCTGGAAGTTAGATGTGCTTTCAGTAGCTGCCTTTTAGCAAGTGGGATAAATAAAACAGAATTGTATCTCACACTAGGACCAGCAAATGCTACAGTAGCACAGCTTTGGTGTGGCTGGTGCAATTTGTTGCTAGGTTCAATATGTTGATATTAAAACTGCTGTGTCAACAGATGAATGACAAACCATGGTAAACTCTACTTGTTTCAGTGAGTCTGTAAAGTGGTAACTATATTGTTGTTATGTTGTTGTTATGTGCCATCGAGTCAGCCCTGACTCATAGCGACCCCTCCTTGGGTTTCCGAGGCAGTATCACTATGGAAGTAGGATTGCCCAA